GAAACTGGAATTAAATACCTTTACTCTATGAAGGATTTTTCTAGATTCGAACTAAAATAGAAATTTCAAAGTTCATTAATGTTTTTATAGTACTAAATTACAAATACCTGAGTATGTTCCAAATGCATAAAATCTGATGTTTGTTTATAAGAGTCGCTAAGATATTGTACAATCTACACTTTGCACTGTATCTAACAAGGAACATCACTCTAGTGTAACACAGGTTAATTTTGATGCAATTTGGTAGAGAGGTAGTATTCTGAAAAATATTTGATACGTATTTTCTTAAGCTGCTGACATTCATATCTAGGAGGTGAAAGCAGCCCTCAAAGGTAGTGGTAAAAAATGCATTTAATCCAAACTTAATACACTGTTAAACAAATTGGTATTTCGAAGAACTATTAAAGTAGTTTCTTTTATTATTAAAAAACATAGTTTGCGTTAACAATCATTTTTCCTAAATCGAATAGTTTGCGAGATATTAAAGAAAATGTATTTTTCATCCCCGACTTTCAAGGCAGTTTTCACCCTCTAGATATGAATGTCAGCAGTTGCGAAATGTATACGTGTCAAATATTTTTCAACATACTACCTCTCTACCAAATTGCCTCAAAATCGACGTGTTACATTTAATATACCTCGTAAATAATCGAGCAATAATAAAAGTAAATTTTCGCTATGCCGAAATAAACAAAATGTATCGATTACTGAAAAACCAAAATTGTCGAAGTGGTGAACGAACATTTAGATGAATCCAATATCTCAAAAACGCGAGCTATATATCAAATATACGAAATAATAGGAGGATGTTCCAACATGTAAGACGATTTCACAGCCGTAAGAAACAATGGTCGATGAACCAGGACGGAAATATTCATTGTTTCCCGCGGAGGGATCCAGGAAAGCATTCGAACCGGTGGTCACGGAGTCCAGCGGCCGGATATGAGGCGTGTTTCCTTAATTGGGCGATATCTTTCGTCGCTGCCCCGTTCGATTTATCGTCCGTTGGGGATTCGTTAAATAGCGTGCGCGCATATCGAGGCCGTAACAACGACGGCCAAAGACGCGACGGGGCTGAAACGCGCGAGCGCGGCAAAGGTCGCGCGAATTGTAAATCGACGCCCATAAATCGAGACGCTGGCGGAGGGAAGACTGGAGAAACGAACAGGCAGAGGGGGAATGGGGAATAAAGAGACGGCAAAATAGCGTTCGAGCGAGCCAGTAATCGATGACCGGGGTTTTCGAGCCCCGCGCTTTCCGTTCATCTTAACGCTCTATTTGCTGCGAACAACGCCGCCTCCTCTATAGACGAAAGATCCGGAGGGAGCAATTGGTATCCCGAGTGGAGGATTTGTTGGAGGCTGAAGGAAAAATAGTATCATTCCCTATCGCTGTGTCGATAAATAAATTTCGAATGTTTATTATGCGAGTTTGACTGAAGTTTACCTAAATGTACACAGTAAACCCCTAAATGTATAGCATGGATTCGTATGATAGGATGGAAAAGTTTTAGGAATGCTCGTATGACACGGTAGATAAGTTTACATTTTCATATTCTGACTAAAATTGTCACAAGAAATATTTTTAATATTCAGTTTACAATTTTCATAATATATCTTTGTGTCTTTTATAAATATCCGTTTCCATGAGCATACGTAATCCATATACAGTGGGTGATCGAATTATTAGAACCTTAGGACGAGAAATGTTTTTTTTTTCTATGTATACCACATCAGGTTTAAGGCAATAAATAAATAATAGTGTGTTAGTATCAAGGTTTGTACACAGAATAACTTTTAACAAACTTTCCACAAAAAATACACAAAAATATTAAACTTAGCATGAATATTAACTTATGTAGTTGTACAAAAATACAGTGTAAGATCGTAAATTTATACAGATGGCTTTAATAATTTGATCACTCACTGTATGTAAATATTATACCTATAACCTATGTGACTCGTATAACACGACAGATTGCTATAACACGGAACTTATAGCAGTATAAATAAGCCCTGTGTAATAGAAGGGTGTAGTATTATGGTATATTTATATCACGTGTACACCTGAATGCTTCAAATTTCATTACTTTTACAACAAAATTAACTAAATCCACGATGACATTCTATTTCAATCTCCCGTTTCATATTCGACAAAAGAAACAAATCAGTCATAAATTCCATCAACATCGTTCCACTACCTTTAAAGGAAATTCACCCTTTACCGATAGAATTATGCTTCGAAAGTATGTATCTGCGTGCATAATTAACTCGATTCCATCATTCTAATAAAACAAACATATTTTACAATTTTTACTAAAGTATAAATTTGTATCACAAAAGGCTCGTTTTTTACACATGACGATTATACTCGTCATTACCTAAAAACTGGTAATTCCTTTACGACGGATATACTCGTCAGATCCAGTTAAAGGGTGAATAAACCTATCGTAAAAACCAATCGTCAAACAACACCTTAAAGTTCCCGAGGAGCTCAAACGACTTACTATCTAGATTTCAAAGTTCTTCCTCGCGTTCAATTACCTAACCCTCCAACACCATCGAAGCAGTCCTTCAAACGCTCCCTCGGCTCCAGAGGCGTTTACGCGATTCCCAACGATCTCGAGCGCGCGTTCAGAGGGTCACTCTCCCCTCGATTATATCGATTATCGATCGGCGGGATCTCGACGGGGCCCGTATATGCCAGGCCCTTAAACCCACTGGCCAGGCAGGAAGAGACGCGGGGTCCTTACGTGGCATCGAACAATTAAGGCTGACTTACGCGTGGCCGAGGCGCGCACACCAGCCGCGTTAAAGGAGCAAACGAGTCGCCGGCATCAGATAATGCGAAACCGCGACCCTGTCATCTCGGAAGAATTTACCGACGACACCGTAGAGACCCAGGCGTAGAAGTTACCGGAGCCAACGAGAAAGACACTCAGCGGCGCTCTGTGAATCTTGATTCTCGCCGCCACGCTCGCGAACGGATTTTCCACGAAAATCCCTTGCGCTCGCGCGTCGCGTTGACGCTGGTCTTTGATCGCGTGGTGTGCTTCTACGAGATCGGAAACTCGAGATCTCCGGAGCTAATTGCTGTTCGCGGGTATGCCGAGGAATTATTTCGTTTGATTAACGCTGCGCGCACCCGGTGGTGATTTTTCTAGCGCCGTTGATAGTAATCAAGTTATATTATCCGTATACATAGTAAACACGGAATGTACTTTTCGTTTATAGTCGTAAATAACTCGAATCTTACGCCGTGGATAAACGGCCGCTGGGAGTTAGGGGAATGGACTTTCTCCGGAACGAACCGTGTGACCCATCTCGAGTGAACTACCGAACTAGAGGAAATGGATCGTTAATAATGAATGATGGTGGATCATAAAAATTGTGATAAAAAACGAATGTTATATGTGTATGTTGCGTGTGTTATTGTATATGGATATTGTAGTCGTGTGGAATTTTTGCAGCTTCCGAGGAGGACGGTTTTTGTGCAAAGTTTTACCTCAGGGGACACGAAACTTCTGATTCACGTGTGAGAAAACAGACATCTCGCTCGGGAGACTTCAATGCGGCGCAAAGGAGTTCGTTCGGGAGATTTCAATGCGCGGTAAGGGTATCATTAGCCGCCTCGACGCATTCAGATCGACACGGATGCCTTTCTATCCATGTGGACGTGGATTTGTACAGTGTTGATTTGAAACGTTCTGTTAAATTTACGTTCGACAATGCACAGAAGTTATTTTCATATTGTCCAAAAACGATGATTTTAAGTTTTGTATTTGGTTCCAGTGTAATATCATGTTACGATTATACTTTGGTTCTTTATGCAAATTCACAATTTTGAACATTGATTTATGAATATGAAAATGAGAAAAATTTATTTCCGATACTAGATCTCATATTATGCTGATATAAATACATAAATTTCATTTAGTTTTATTACAGACTTTATTTTACTGCATTTAGTATATTAAAATTTACTATAAATGCATAAACATCCGCAGTCTAGTTATCATTAACTGTTCTCCTCGGATTGATATGACCCGAAATGAAGATTATATTTCAATAGGTATTATGTTGTTAAATATTTGTTTCTAGTATACAACGAACTTAAATGTTAAGTCTACTATTTTCTAAGAACAAACCATTTCAAAGTTTAAAATAATTTTATAACAGCAGGGTTCAACTGTGGATTTATGTATTTATAATACAGAGCCTCCCGTATCCGAACTAATAGGAAAACATAAGTGTTCGGATAACAGAACAATTTCGAATAGTAAACTCGATTTATTTAAACAGGGATCACTAAAATTGATAGTTTATTTAAATATTTATGGGTCCTATATAGTTTAGGTTGCTAAATTACAGAAATTTTTCAATAAGTGACTAGACAGAATTCGATTGTGTAGAAAAAACTATACACTATACGTAAGTACTACATATTTCCAAGAGGATAAGTCATCTCTTGTTGAGAATATTAGGGTACTCGAATAATCTGTGTTCGGATACAAGAGGCTGTACTCTATACCCAAATTCTTACTATATTTTCATTCCACTTAAATCCTTCACAAAAAATTAACTTTCTGTTTTACTTCCATTTCTGTAAATCCCTCCGAAAAAAAACACGATTTTGCATTAAGATCTACACAGGAAATTACCAATAAAAAAATCAATAAAACCAAGACTATCCAATTCCCCAACTAGAATTCGCGATTCAGTTTAACAGAACTTCCGTCCGTCACATCCAACAAATTCTGGAGCACGATATTCAGGAGAAACGTTTCAGTGAATTCTTTCTGCGGCCGTTGCGCAATGAATAGTCTCGCGTGAAAACGGTCAAACACTTTGATCCATTGCCATTCGACGAGTAACCGAGACGACGCGTATCTGGCGTGGAGGTTCGGCCACGATCACGCGAACGCATCGCGAATTATCGGTTCTCCCTGCGGTACCTGCGGCGAGCAATATTTTTCGTGGATGCGCTCGCAACAGGCGCCCTCAGTTTTTTTTTTTTTTTTTTTTTCCGAAGCTTTCTTGCGCAGTGTAGAGAGCAGGGGGCAGCAAAACGCGCATAGGAAAATGAAACTGAACGTGTGTGCACTTACCAGGCATGCAGACACATCGGAATGTCCCGGGATCGTCCAGGCAGGAACCATCGTTCTGACAGGGATGGGACTCGCACTCGTTCACGTTCGTTTCGCATCTCGGCCCTGTGAATCCTTGCGTGCAGTTGCAGGCGAACGAGCCGGGCGTGTTCACGCAGATCCCGTCGTGTTCGCAAGGGGATCCTAGATGGGATAAACAGAAAGAAAATGTCTTATTAATACAACATACTAGTAAATACAATATTACGAAATATTAAATTTATTTCTTTTATTTCTGCCCTTGTATGACCCTGAAGACCATAGTATACTACATGGTTGAATTCGTCTTAATGCCCGCTTTCATATGATGTAAAAAAATATTTAGCATTCTATTTAAAAAAATTAAGGTCACCTTCGTTTCTAGAATAATATTAAAAATACAAAAACTGTAGATACACTATCATATTATTAGTAAAATATACTATAACTTCCTCCTCTTCGATTTCTTTCTAATGTTTACCGTTTACGAAAAAAACGATGGTACGAATTATCGCGAACACCCTGTATATCGAGCACCAAGCAAAGTATTCAAGCACTTAGCATACACACACAAGCAGTCACTACACACTGTTATAAATACTGACACTCCCCCAGTTAATATTTAAATATTACCATAAACTACTCCCGGAGAATATTCATCCACCCCATTCACCGACCCACTACATACTGCCCGTTCAAGGAGACGAGTCACTTACAATAAACAAAACATTTACGTGCTAAGCCCAGCCATTGGCTGGCAACTGTCTCTCCCCTACCAAAATGGTTATCACGTCCCTTTGTTTATAGTTACTAACTCGACTCGTTGGATGAGGTATACAGGTAATTTCTCAGGTATTTGAGCGAAAGTCCTTTCCTGCGGAATGTTCCTTCCGCGACAAGGACCAAAAAGATTACACGATAGAGAACAAATGTTTTCCAACAAAAACCGTTTCCTGTAGTATTTGAATTGAGGATACTACTGACGATACATTAAATAATCAACGTCTGTATTATGTAATTGTTTCCTTAGGTCTCCTATACTCGATATATTTTCTACATGTCCTCGAACAAATTGTTTATTTGTTGAATATATCGTCTATTTGGGGCTGTCCGCCCACCGCGAAACTATAGATGATTGCGCTCCATTTGGGTCTATGATGTTTTGTTTTAAAATTGCTGAATGTTTACCTCGTACCATCCGAGAATGGATAAAATAAAGGTATAATTAAATTATACCTTAATTTAAATAAAAGTTTCTGTTTCAGATTATAATTTCTGATTATGAATGGAACGTCCGAATACTTTTGTCTAACTATATACAGATAAAACTTATTTTATATTTTGTGATACATAGGTAGCTCCGTGTAACTTTCATGAAAGCTTGCGTCGGAATAATCGTAAACACTCCGCAGGGTAGAGCTTCAGTAACATCACCATAACAACAAATACAACGAAAAATATCTTTGTCTGAATATTCTGCTGTATATTCGCGGAACTTCAGGAATTGTTCTCGCGATCGGAGGTGCGTTTGATCGTGAACGTGGGCTCGATAAATTAAAACCGCCGCGAACTGTGGCGAACGCGTGGCGCATAATAATTAATAGCCGTGCAAGAATCAAAGTCCAGCACGCAGGTGCATCCCCCGTGGGATGCCCGGACAAATACAGTAGGATAGCGCGCGCGCGCCTTAATTGGCCCTGAGTCGGTGAACTTTTTCGAAGAAGCTGCCATTAGGGAAGAAGAAGCGTTCGAGAGGAGCCCCGGGCCGCGGCGACGACCATAAGAAGGAAGCTGCCGGGTACGGATTCCACGGGTACCATTCTCTCTTGTTGCCCTGGCCTCTCCCTTCGGCCAAGAATCCGACTCGAGTTACTTTTCCACGCGGGTTATGTGGTTCGCTGTTAATTGCAATAAGATAATCACCGCTGACAGCTGTCCGGCGACTCGACGCACGAGAAACGAGCGTTTTCATTAAGGCTCGAGAAGACTTACCCGAAAATGCACGGTTTAATTTCGATCCCACGCGTGACGGTAGGTTGGTAACTCTCGCGAGAGACCGGTCCCCGTGGTCACGTGTTCGGGGTTATGTAAGAGGAAAATGACGATGTAATGAAATTTTCATGGTATATTTAGGTGGTGTTTATTTAATAAGAACATTTTTTTAGGCATCCTGTGAATGTGGTCACCCTTATGAGCAATTTTTTTTACGGTTAAATATTAGGGGTTGTTACCAGGCAATGGATTTTGTGTTTTTTTAAGGAAAAGAATGTAATTTTCTTTTCGATATATTACAATTTTTTAATGCGTTTATGTAATATTGGAATACTATTTTACAAAATAAATTTGTGAACCAACACAACCACACAAAGTCACCTATTGTGTAGAATATTTTTCTATATTCAATAAATTCTATATCATAGAAAACTAAATTTAAAAAAGACTGAATGTCTACAAACTTAAAAGAACTTTACCTGACACATCCTGTATACAAATAATACAACGAATATCAAACAGAAAGTTTCGTTATTAGTGGCTGCACTTCCGAGAATATTAACTAAAGAACATCCTTACTGAACACTTGAAGCTGCCAACAGATCAGCCACGCGAAGAGACTGTCAATCCCAACGATACAAATCCTATCCACTTCCGATACTCTCTGTAAGACCACTGGACTCAAGTGTTCGTGTGTTCAGCATATGCTATCTAGTCACAGGCTCTTCCAAATCGGATAGAGGTCGAAAAAATCAATTTGCATAAGAATTGAGAACAGAACAGAATCTTCCCTCAATTTCATCACATTTCTAATCATCTCCATGAAGGAGTACTTACAGGTAATCGTCGTATTACAAGGTGGTTAAATTCCTAAAAATTAACGTGTCCTAGAAAAGTAAGCACTAGTATGTACACACATACAAAAGATAGAGTTAGGTTCCAAAAACTGATGAAACTACACCGTATAGAAATATAAAATATATGAAATGGATAACGTGTTATTCAGGGATTTCCTAATCTTCCAACCTTCTTATGGGAATGTATAGATTATGTTATTCGACACAGCCAGAAAGAAAAAAGGTATTACAGGAGTACAAGAGCAGCAAGCAGGAGCGAATTTTTTCTTAATTTCATATTTCTAATCACCACCATGAAGAAATCCATACAGAACTTCCAATACATCCTCTATGAAACTAATGAAAGTGGTCCAAACACAGGTTAGGGTCTAAATATGGGGTAATTGAAAGTATTTTAGGTGCTTCACCATAGCAATAATATGAAACTGCGACCTAAAAACAAAACAAGCTTATTTTAATTCTGTATTATAAAGCAAATATGTCGTAGATGCACTAAAATACAGTAATGTCTCGATAAGTATAAATTGGTTTTTTGTTTGAACCCGATCTGCTTACATCCTATAGTACCCTCTCCAAAAAGTTCCAGGACAAGTAAAATAATACGTGTACCATTCATTTATTTATCAATTCTATTTTGTCACCTTCAAAGTAATCCCCATTGCTCACAATACATTTTTTCCAACGTTTTCTCCACTCTTCCAAACATCCCAAAAATTCAATACTCTGTTTTCATTGGTCTCACAGGGGAACTCCCTCAGTGGTGGCAATACCGCCGTTGCTCCTGTCGCATTCATCGAGGAATTACTGTATTGCTTCTTAAAAATCTTCAACAGCTCTAACAATACATCCTAAAGTAAAACTGCTAGTCCATACATAGACCATCTGCTCTATCCACAGGTTATACAACATACCCAGAAAGAAACAAAGTTATTCCAATACTTATGGGTAACAAACACATGCAACAGTGAATTTTTTCTGAATTTCACATTTCTAATCATGAAGTACCATTACAGACCTTCCAATACACTCTCTATCATACTATCCACAGCCTACGTTATTCGACATACAGCCAGAAAGAAAAAAGATAAATATTCCAATAATTAGAGGGGGTTGGGGGGTAACATACAGGAAGAGACCGAGCGCGAAAATAGCGAGCCAGGGGCCTCGTTCCCAGGGCAACGCGTACAATCACCCGCGATACTTATGAACTTTTCTAAGGGCAACGACAGCGGGCTCCCGCGCGCCGTTTATAAAGTGGCGTCGCTTTTGCCTGTGGCACGCTCGCATACCGTCCTCGTGTAATTCGCCGACGCGGTTTTTCCGACCCCAGCCGCCGCCGGGGTAATTGCTGTCGCCGCGCGCGACGTTTGACCGCTGCTCGAGGAGCCAGCAGCAGCCGCTGAAAGAAGAACACGCGGGTAGCAAAAGACGATGACGGCGGCTGGGCCCCTGAGAGGTCGGGACGGGGTTGTACGTGTGTTACAGGGCGAGCCTGGGGGCGAGCAAGAAACACATTGCTCCGTCGTGTTCGCAATCGAGCGACGAGGTCGGAACAGATGACGAATCGGTGGTCGCGGAGTTGCTTCGAGCGGCCTTCAAGGACACAGGGACTCTCGAAAAGAGGCGACTTTGATGGACGGGGATCGATCTCACGGAAACGGCGGACGGAGCGATTCTTGTGGGAGCCGTTCGGTTGCCAAAGTGATTAAGTCTACGGAAATTGTTGAGGGAATCTTGTTAAGCGTACAAGGTTAAGCAGTAATAGTTTTGGTTATAAAATTTGAAGGAATTCGGTAAGTGGAGTTAGTCACTTTGGTCGCTGAATGGATCATATAAAGCTCGAGGGAAATAAATAGGGGCTTGGATATGTATTGCTATTGTTTAGCAGGCAGTGTTACTGTTGGTCTAGAATTAAAACTCAGCAGCTTATTGTCTTATTTAGCTCAGGATATCGGAAATTTGGAAAGTTATAATTGTATTTAAGTAGAAGTAGATAAATGGAAATTTTTTATCAATTCTGTTCATAGTTTCTCATCTTCATGAAAGTACGAAATTTTAGGGATTTTTTTTCTAGTTTGGCCTGAGATTGATGATACGAAAGGGTTTGAGGAGAATAACAATTCGTGGAAAGGAATCTTCCATGGTTTCATTTCTCGAAGATTTTTTGGTACGGTATCTTTATTTTCAAAATTATTTATGAACAATATTTTAGGAACTCAAGAATAAGCTGACGTGAGTTGGTTTTCTTTTAAATAAAAAAATTCTATCTTTGAACAATTCAGCTGCTAAATTTTAATTGTGAGTAATAATTATGCT